TCCTGTCACGGCTATGGAGGCCGTTTGTGAACTCTTTGCCTGTCCTGTCACGGCTATGGAAGCCGTCTGTAAACTCTCAGCCTGTCTTGAAACGGCTATGGAAGCCGTCTGTGAACTCTCAGCCTGTCCTGTAATGTCTACAGAGGTCGCTTTTGAACTTTTGTCCTGCTCTGAACCGGTCGTGGAAACCCTAAATGAACTTTCTGTAGGCCCTGCTAACCCTGTCGTTGCCAAAGAGACCATTAGTGAACCGTCTGTCTATTCAGTTTCTGTCAATGTGTCTGATTTTGGACTGTCTGTCTTGCCTGTTTCTGTCCAGGAATATAAACCTGACCTGTCTGTCTAAATGCTTCTGTTGTGTCTGAGTTTGAACCATCTGTCAGTCCATCTTCAATCACTTGATCTGTTTATCAATCTAGTTTCAATCAATGCACCCGGTCTTGATCTGTCTGCCAGTCCACAACTCCCACATGTACCTAATTCTGAATTATCAGTCTGTCCTGTTTCCCGCAATGAGCCTGATGTTAACTCTACTGTCTGTTCCGATCCCACTGTCAATACCAATTTAGTACTGTCAATCTATGAACATGTTATTTGCCCCATTAGTCCAGTCACGATCCCAGAAACCGTACCTGAACTCCCTGTAGGCTCTAGTAGCCTTGTCACAGCCCAAAAATCCTCCTTTGAACTCTTAGCTCTGTCTGTCATGAACTCAAGGACTATAAATGCACTCTGTGTCTGTCTCTTTAACTCTGTCACTGCCATAGAGAACATTGATGAACTTCTTGTGTTCCCTGCCGTGTCCCTGAAACCAGGAATGCACTGCCTGTGTTGTCTGTCTCTGTATTCTCTAGGCCCCAGTCTCTGCTATGGGTCCCGGCTCCGTCTGCTCCGCCGTGGTGGTCCTCTGCTCCGCCGTGGTGGTCTACTGTCTGGCTCTGGTGGTTCTCTGCTCTGCCGTGGTGGTCTGCTGTCTGGCTCTGGTGGTCTTCTGCTCTGTCTGCTCCGGTCTGGTGGTCTGATCCCTTTCAAACTGCCGAGTATTGTATAACGTTTATCACTCTCATAGCGATAGGTACTCTACGGAGCCTGTCTAGTTTTTCATAGCCTTATCTTAGTCTTGCCTTGTCTGTTTTCTCCTGTCCTGATCTTTGCCTGTGTATCTCGGAATCCCCCTCTCGTCTTGCCCTATTCGGATACTGTTTGCCCCTGCCTGGACCTTTGCCTTGTACCTGGATTTATCCCTCTAGTCTCGCCCTGTTGATTCTGTTCGCCGATCGTAGACCCACACTAGCCCTAGGAATATTCTTGTGTCTTGCCCTCTATATACCTGTTGCCATTGTCTGACCCTTGCCTGTTTCTGACCATGTCGGTTAATAAAGCTTCGCACTTGGATCTGCACGTCTCACGTCTCAGTCACTCGATGACACAACCACATTGCTCAATTTATTTATTTATTTGTTTGTTAAAATGTCCAATTTTAAAGGGTCATGAAATGCAGTTTCAGGATTCATATTGTTTCTCGAGGTTAGTTTATATAGTTTTAAGGTCTAATATTTGTAATATTTGTAAAAATTATTTTCCATCCTCATTTTCACTCTCTGTGAAGAACAATCCATTTTAAGGGATGTCACCTCTTGCAGAAACACAAGTAAACACCCACTGCTGTGATTGGCTGACTTCACTGCAGCATGTTGTGTGTTTTGAGTTTATATGTTTGAGCCCGAGTCAGAAGAAATTGAAACAATGCAACCACAATGACTGCAACAGTCTGTTTCAGTGTGGTATTTGCTTTTGCTTCCTTAATTTTTAAAGAAGGCTATGCAAAGTTTTGGAGATGCAGTTTCTTTACATACAGAACAACGTCTGAGTTTGACGGTCTTACTTGACATCTATATCCAACAGCAGCATCGCTCTTGTAATTGATGGACAGACATGAGTTGTTCAGAAACACACCTCCATGATTACATACGATGATAACGCATGTTTTGGGGGTGCTGAGAGGAAATTTCAATTCCGATTTCAAATCTGGGTGATTCAGAAGGGCGTAAAAGAATAATTTATATTTTAAACTGGTTAGTTCTGAGTTCTGAAACGTGCTGTACACAGATGTGTGTAGCACATTTTATGGAGGACTGTTTCCTGAACCTGGTAGAGCAGACTACAATGCCGGCTGTTTTGACTCACAGACTGTAAGTACATTTTCATTTTTAAAGAATTTGCTACTGATGATTCAAACGTGAGTTTTGAGCAGTGTAGAGTAGCGCTTGTTGTTTGTCATTTCT